AAATATGGTAAATATATACTTTTTATAACTTTAAAAAAAAAAATCTTGATTACAGATGCTAAGATCATATCAACCGTTGTGAATGAAGATACTGAGTTAGTAGCAGAGTTTGAAAATACTCAACCATGGACAATGAATCAGAAGGGGATCAGACGTTGAGCTACGCAGATGGCAGACTTAACAAGATAGCTGCTAAGGGTGTGGGGCACTACTTAGGTAAAATCTTATTTTGGGTTTTTATACTGATGATTAGCCTGTCAAAACTTTGGTGCAGTATTTTGTACTGTTCAGCTACATGTATGTTGTCATCGAAGATGACTGAGTTGAGCTGTCACATAGGTATAATTGTCCCCCATCTGTGTCCGTGTCCTGCATTTGCTTCATGAGGTAAAAAATGAAATTCAAAATAAATTGTTTTTACTTCAACCATGTCAGTGCTTATCACTTTAGTAAAGCATGTGATCATTATGGAAAAATACAATGAAAGTGATTTTCAAACTATCGCCAAAGAATCAACATTTAAAAGTGAAATGAGCGAGGTGACGTCTTTAATATTTTAGAATGCTCTGTGGCAACAATTTTGTTAGATATTCTATTTTCTCTTGTAGATATTTTATGTTATGTGCATATTCAAAAATTACACAGTACTCTTCAAAATTTACAAAATATATAACATTTGCACATTTGATTTTGATTCAGTAATTTGTTGATCCAACTCATGATGTTCAACAGTAATCCCCACATCAAATATTAGTGTATTCCACAATATTAGCGATAATACCTGAAATATGCACACAGCTTTCCTCCTTGCTGCAGTTTAGCAGCTCTTATTGGCCGCTTAAGCTATTTTGATATTACGTTGCAGCCATAGATGGTCGCCCTGCAACGTATACCACGACCAAGAGAGCTGCATAAACTGCAGCAACCTTCCTCCACTCAGCGGCATCAACATGCTCATGGTCAGTTTTGAAGACTTTTTTTGTTGGTAATACAGTATGATGAAGTCATTAATGTTATATTAATAATTGCTTGAATCTGTATTGGTATATTTTCAACTATATCTTGAACTTGATTTCACATTCCAGGTCGAAAAGTAACATTTTCTGCGATATTCTTTGCTGAGTTACGAGTTGCTATGATTACAAACAGAAGACGAAGAAGGTAGGTATATATGTAAAAATTACAGAAAACTAAAATTCAAATGATCTTACAATATGGTATTTTAAAGCGAGAGGGTCGCCACCTGCTCACACGCTGAGTTCCAAGTGACGATAACAACACACGCTAAAAATGCAAAGGCTCATGGATAGACGCTTGTTTGTAAACAATTACGTGCTATGGCCATCTGACGCATGCACAGGCGACGTCACCCCAGTTTTAACACTACATTAGGACGCTGTCACACAAGGGAGGTCTTTTTTTTTTAAAAGGACTTTACATGAACTGTCCTGTTATATAAATGTTCATTTGTTGCTTTGATATATTTGGTATGCAGTACGTCTGTAGTGGAGCCAACGGTGTCAACAGAATTAAATACTGGTGTGATGTCATGTGTGATGACATCTGAAGGTGACAGGATATCAGATTTGCCGGTGGAATACAGTCTGGCTAACAATGAGGTAAGCATGGTTAACTACACACACATGTCACTGGATTTCAAAATGTTTTTTACCTCATCTCAATAGATTGTTAATATCTCACAATAATATACAGTGAATTTCATGAAGGCATGAATTTGTTCATAGAAATTTATAAAATATTTATAAAATAGTTACCATGGAAGACATTCAAGTTGCATTCAGATCAAAAATCCATGATTTCTTTGGTTGCATGGTAACATCCATTACCCATATGAGTCTTTTCAAGTTCACTTCAATCATTGGCTGTTTTATATCTGTTAATGCATGGTGATTGGTCAAATTGTCTTCAACCATCATTTGAATTTTATAGAATATTTGTATTATATAAAAAACATTCATGCCTCATGTTCTGCCATTCACCTGATTTCTGCGTGGAATGTTTTTATAAATATATACTCCATGTTCATATGGGTCTCATAGTGACGTATTTAATGCATGTAAAATACATTTTTTTGTTTATACAAAAACACTAATACTCGCTGCGCAATGATCACTGCCTGCCACAGAACCAATACCAATAATTTGTTATCTTTTCCAGGATGTCATTGCTGAAGATATTGAACTGACACAAGATGTTGGTAAGCGATTAATACACACCAATAAGATCACTACATCTAAGGAGGCAATGTGTAGATACTGGAATTATGTTGATGTGTAAGTTTTATTATTAGTACTTAAACTAGTCTGTTGTAAACACATTTTCTTCAACAAGTTTACAAAAACAAGTATTATTATTAAACTACTGAAAAATCGGACATACAACAGTTGTGGAATTATGTAACTCTAGAATGATTAAAAGTTTAAAATCTCTTAAAGTTTTGTTCAGTATTCAAATCAAGTTCAAAGGTATTTGATATTTGCATGTCTGGGTATATCTTATTTGATTTTATTGGGTCATCCTTGTTACAAACGATTTTTTTATCTGGTGTTTGGCTTGCTAAATCTTTGATATGATTGTTTGTTTCCTCCAGTGACTGGGACCATCATGGTCTATCTTTAGTAGAAGAGGAAACTACAGAACTGATTACAACATGTTACTCAACACATACCACTAACTTTGCTGTTCTAATGCAAGTCACAGAAATAGAGGTAACAATTTCTACAAATTAAACTTCACTTGCCCGTACATAAATTGCCATTTTGAATACCAATAAAAAAAAAATTTTGTGTCAGACAGCAAACATTTTTAGACATAATTTACAGTCAATGTTTTCTGTCATGACAATTTGTAATTGCAAGTACATGTATGAACCTGTCTCCCAAATCAAATACCACCTGTTTGGAAAGCATGGCAGCAACAGGAATTGCAGCCACTACCTTCCTCCGCGATGTGAGACAAACACCAAAACCACTGTACCATTTCACTATGAAATTCATGCTGCATTGTTGCTACATTTGTTCCTTCAAACCTAAGAGAAATGAGCTGGATGTTTTCTTGTTTTAGGGGGAGGATTCATAATGTGAATCTTTTTTTTTTATTTTTCAGATCTCATCAACCAATACCAAAGCTTTGGAAATCATCAGCTACATTGGATGTGGTATTTCCATAGCAACACTGCTCTTCACCATCATTCTCTTCCAGTGGTTGGAGTAAGTTCTTTAGAATTTTGTTAGGTTAAATATTCATTTTTAATTTTGTCACTAGTATCTTTGTTTTTATGAGCCAGTTTTGTTTTTATCACTAATACTTTAATTTGTTTTTCATGAATGTTTATTTTACGTGCCAGTTCGTTTGTGTTTATAAGTCATTACTTTTGTTTTTATCAAATACATTTGTTTTCACGGGCCAGTTCTTTTGTTTTTATTACTAATACATGGATTTTGCAGATCAGTTCTTTTGTTTTTATTCATTTTGAATAAAATGTTCTAATTATGTCTGTATTTTTTATTTTTATTGTAAAATTATGTAATTATGTTTAATTATGTCTGTATTTTTTATTTTTGTTGTAAAATTATGTAATCTTTGTTTCCACATTTTCATTTGCATAGTTATGTCAAACTTCTAAACCTGTATTTATTTTTCTCAGCACGTTGAGATCAGAACGAACCACAATTCATAAAAATCTCATCGTTGCTATTATCATGGCACAGATTGTCTTCCTCGCAGGCATCAACGCCACACACAACTGGGTGAGTGCAAACCTTATATGGTAATTTGAACTTTGACCCTATATTCTACCCATCTATATGTTGATACACATTTTAGTTTTTGAAATAACATTAACTTAATCATATATCTACTTGTTTATAACATATGATGGTAAAGAAATCTCCAAAAATTTGTTTTAGAAATAAACTTTTGGTGAATTTAAATTAATAATAGATAAAACAGTAAGATGATTTATCAAATACATTTACATGGGAGTAACTTTTTTAATAATATGAGGTTATTACAAGTATACCAAGGTTGATGCAACGGCGTACTGTCTGAGTGTATATATTGCGGTATCCTCGTAATAAATTATTATTATACAACTTTTCTTCCCAATAATACATCATGGAAATGCCAAAATCCAAAAAGTTTAGAACAGAATCAGCGAACTTCTTTGTGGGGAGTCTAGTCAAACTCTGGGGGCTGCTATATTTGTTTTTTATTATTAGAGGACGTTTACTTGTGTAATCGCTCCATATTTGGAATTTACATTTCTTAATATTGTAGGATGAAAATAACCAGTACAATACCACAAAATTCTGGCACGCCTTAACTTATAGTGTTACGGTGATAGATTTATAATAATAACTATTAAATACAACACTTAAACTTGATGCCTATTGTTGGTTTAAACAATGCCACAGTTTTAACACATGATGAGAATATTAGTTTTTGTTAGCTGTCTAATGAATAAATAGCATTTATCCAGTGCTTATCTAAGGTAGGCGATGAGATAATGTAATCTGGTAAAGAGTTACAATTATTAAAGGGCGGTGGTCGTCCCACAACGTGTGTTCGAATTTCATGTAAACAAACAATGTATTTTACACTCATTATGTAGTCCCATATCAAATATGGTGTGGCGCACTGACCACTGCTCTTTAACAATTCAGAAGGTGAAGCAGGGTCGCTTAAGTTTATTTCTTTAACTTTAAACTACAGTATGTCCTCTAATGGCTTATGGAAATCAAGCTGTGACCAATAGTGTTAGATATAAATGAAATCTTTCATATTTATTGACTTGTATACATATGTATTATGTTTCTACAGGGTGCCTGTATGTGCGTTGCTATATTGCTTCACTTCTGCTATCTGGCTGTGTTTGCATGGATGCTGGTAGAAGGGATTCATCTCTACAGCAAGGTCGTTCAGGTGTTCGGTAGTGAGTCAAGCAAATTGAAATATTACTTCCTGATAGGCTGGGGGTTGCCATTCATCATTGTTGGCATATCAGCCGCAGCCAATCACAACGGATATGGAACAGAGAAACAGTGAGTATCATATGACCAATAAGTTCATGGTGCATCACTGAATTGATGAAATAAAGTCAAAATTACAGATCTCATAGGAGCCTTGATTTTTTATACTAGAACTTTTCAAGTGTTTCGCATGAAATGGCTGCCATGTCAACTGTAGACTTATTAATTTTTATTATTTATTTATTATTTATTAAACCTTATGTAATGCGGGTAGCCTGGTAAGCTTCAACAAAGATGCTTATCTACCCCAGGGCCCTCTAAATACCAAATCGATAATACAATAGACATGTTAATTAAAGGCTGTGGAGGAAACATCACATGACGTACATTACCAACATACATGCTAGCTGCACCTCTAATATAGGAGTCGACTGTCAACAGTTATCTCACATTGGTGAATTAAGGTTTGAAACATGACAGAATTACATAACTTTCGAATGATCTCTTACATAAGGTACATGAGTGCATAGGCATAGGCTAGGCAAGCCAACTGTCAATGGGGGATGGAACAATGGAAAAATATCACCATTATTGTTTCTGTATTACAGTTGTTGGTTGGACATTGCTAGTGGGCAGATTTGGGCTTTTGTTGGGCCAGCATTACTGATCATTTTGATTAATCTGGTTGTGCTTGGTATGGTGGTCAGGATTGTTATCAACTCAGCAAAGATGCAGAAAGAAAAAGAATATGATCACATCAAGTAAGAAGTGTATTCTTGTTTGAAGCACGAACGCTGAAAAGATGCAAGGATTTTTTTTTGTGAACATAATTTCGAAGATAGCATATCATCTATGAACGCTTGCAAATAGTCATATTGTTTGAAAACTTTTTCCAGTAACAAAGTTACATAAGTACATATGCTGATATGTAACCATTGCTGGCAGTCTTAATCATTATTCAGGAACTGACCAAGTAATAATGTATATCATTATTCAGGAACTGACCAAGTAATAATGTATATCATTATTCAGGACCTGACCAAGTAATAATGTATATCATTTAATCACTGAATTAAATTCAATAAAAGAAAATCTGTTTTGCAATTTGTGTGAAGACAATGTGTATAATGACTTCCTAAAGTGTCATGTAGCGCTTACAATGAAGCTTCTTTCAAGTCCAGCTGTAAATAACACACTGTAGTTCAAATTGTTTTCTGTATGTGTGGAGATTTCATCCAAAAAAGGTCAGGTCACCTGACATAGGTCATCTTCTCACCTGATACAGCATGTTCATCATGTATGGCTTACATTTTACCCTTTAACAGGGTTAACTTCGTAGCAATCTTGAGTCAAAATAAAATACCAAAAATAAAGTTTGGTCAGCTTAGTGATTGCTGGGGAAAGTGGTATTCGATAACAAATGTTGCTTTGGGGAGCACATTTATAAAATATGAATATAAGTTTTTTTTAAGATAATACTATATCAATGTATGATTTACAATTGTATAGATAACACACTTTATTATTTTTCTAGGGCTGGTGTTAAAGGTGCCTTGGTTTTGTTACCATTGCTTGGTCTCACATGGGTGTTTGGATTATTTGCCGTGGATGAAGGCTCCTTAGTTTTCCAGTATCTGTTTGCCATCTTCAATTCTCTGCAAGGATTTTTCATTTTCCTATTCCAGTGTGCTTTCAACTCGGAGGTATGAATTTATCTCAGCCAATAAGTATATCTCTAGTACCTAGGTTTTACCACATTTATATTGCATATGTTTAGATAAAAGATTTAAGTTTTTAATCAACTTACAGTTTTTAACAAATTACAGTTTAAAATACATTATTGGCATAAGGGACGCTCACTGAGTCCCACCTAAGCTGCACTACACTCTGGTGAGAACCCAGACATGAAACAGTAGGATAAACACAAAGTGAAATAAATATCTAACTGAAATTACAGCATTAAAAAATAAATAAAAAAATACTATACTAGGTATATAATTGTTAATGATTCTCTCTTTTAGAATAACTGTATGTAAATATATTTTGTTGGGATTAAAAAATAGTGATGGCATTTGTTAACTTGATAGACTCATACATCATGTCTAAAGCACAGATTATTTATGGTCAATTTTAAATTGTCTTATGGTATTAATACCGTATGCGAAATATCCAGCAAACTTTATGATATTTTGTCATTATTGACCTCAGGTACGCGCAGCATATCAGAGAAAGAAGGAGAAGAGAGCATTGGCAAGAGGAGAGTTTGTCACTTCAACATCAGGAACTGTAAGTTTGTTTTTGACAAAAATTGGAATGGGTCACAGGTCATCAGCCCAGATAGGTCAACTGTGAGATGCGACACAGGTCACCAGCAACAGGGTCAACTCTGAGATGTGTCACAGGTCATTGGCAGAATGGGTTACATGTCACTAAATAATTCAGCAGTGGGATGGGTCACAGGTCACCAGCAAGAGGGTCAACT